ACTAGTACTAGTACTAGTACTAGTACTACTACTACTACTACTACTACTACTACTACTCTTACTACTACTACTACTACTACTACTAATACCATTAACTACTACTACTACTACTACTACTACTACTACTACTGCTAATACTGCTACTACTACAACTAGTACTTGTACTAGTGCTAGTACTAGTAGGACTTCTACTACTACTACTACTACTACTACTACTACTACTACTGCTACGACTACTACTACTCCTACTACTCCTACTACTACTACTACTGCTGCTACGAAAACTGCTACTACTACTACTACTACTACTACCACTGCTTCTATCACTACTACTTCTACTACGACTACTACTACGAGTTATACGACGACTGCTCCTTCTTCTATTGCTACTACCTCTACTACGACGACTCCTACTACTACTGCTACTACGACTACTACTACTACTACTGCTACTACGACTACTACTACTAGTACTAGTACTAGTACTAGTACTAGTACTAGTACTAGTACTAGTACTTACAGTACTACTACTAGTACTACTACTAGTACTACTACTAGTACTACTACTAGTACTACTACTACTACTACTACTACTACTACTACTACTACTACTACTACTACTACTACTACTACTACCACTACGACTACCACTACGACTACGACTACGACTACGACTACTGCTACTACTACTACTACTACTACTACTACTACTACTTCTACTACGACTACTAGGGCAACACGGGGTCTATGTCACCCGATCTTTGACCCTGTGAGGTCCAAGTGGGAGGGTCATTCACTGAAATTGGAAAAGGGACTCAAGCGGGAGCGTCATTTCAAAATTAAGCCGGAGGAAGTCTGAAGCGGGAGCCTCGTTTCTAAATGGAACTGAAGGGCATCTCAAGCGGGAATCCCTGTTCTTAAAGGTTCCGCAGTTCATGTGTGAATTTCGAAGAATTATACACAACATAGAACTGTCTCCATTTTTGGGCCTGTCAGCCTTGAGTTTGTAGGACGGCTTAAGCGGGAGGGTCATTTCTGAGTGAAATTAGAAAACGTTTCAAGTGGGAACGTCATTTCGGAGTGAAATTGGAGGAAGTGTGGAGCGGGAGCCTCATGTCTGAGTGGAGTTCGACGAGGTCTCAGGCGGGAGCCCTTGCTGTTAAGGATTCCACAGCTCATATTTGAATGTCATAGACTCATACAATCCATGGCACACTTTTGGGCATCACAGCCCTGAATGTGTAGGAAGTCCCAAGCGGGACTATCACAACCATCCTTATTACAAGTCTAAATGAAAGCATTTGTTTGTGCCGATTCCAGAAGGGCTCCACTTTCCAGTGGGCATTGGTATACCTCAATATAAAACATGCCGTTTCCCCCCCCTCCCCCGGCTGATGTCCGAGAAGCTCCCTCCACTTTCCAGGGGGATCCCTGCTACAAATCTATATGCAATTCCATATCCAAATGTTTTTTTTCTGATAATTCCAAGGGAGCTCCACTTTCCAGAGGGATCCTTTTTTACAGATACATGGTCGGTATCGCATTTGCATGTGCTTTGATTGCGGGCGCCTTCCCGAACCTGAACCCTTACCCATTTACCCGTCACCCAAATTTGAGTAACACAGACCACGGGTAACCCTACTAATGCTACTACTACTACTACTACTACTACTACCACTACTACTACTACTACTACTACTACTACTACTACTGCTACTACTACTACTACTACTACTACTACTACTACTACTACTACGAATACGACTACGACTACGACTACGCTTACTACGACGACGACGACGACGACGACAACTACGACAACCATTCCCATTACCACTACTACCACTATTACTACTACTACTACTACTACTACCACTACTACTACTACTACTACTACTACTACTACTACTACGACTACTACTACTACTATTACTACTACTACTACTACTACTACCACTCTTACTACTGCTACTAGTTCTTCTTCTACCACTACTACTACTACTACTACTACTACTACTACTACTACTACCACTACTACTACTACTACTCCTACTACGACGCTCTTACTTACATACTTTCTTACTGGCTGGCTTACTTACCCACTTACTTACTACGACTACTACTGCTACTACTACTACTACTACCACCACTTCTACTACTGGTACTGGTACTAGTACGAGTACTAGTACTAGAGTACCAGTACTAGTACTAGTACTCGTACTACAGCTACTACTACTACTACTACTACTACTACTACTACTGCTGCTACTACTACTACTACTACTACTACTACGAATACGACTACGACTACGACTACGCTTACTACGACGACGACGACGACGACGACGACGACGACGACGACGACGAGTACTACTACTACTACTACTACTACTACTACTACTACTACTACTACTACTACTACAACTACTATTACTACTACGGCTACTGCGACTACTACGATTACGGCTACTATCACTGCTACTCGTGTTGCTGACACGGTGTCCTACGCGACTCATCCTTCTGTCTGCGTTGTCCTCCCACGTCTTGCTGTCCCTCGCCAACCTCAATCAGTTTTGTGCCTAATACCCGGGAGTACTTTTACTCCCACTGTCGCACACGAAATCGTCAAGGGCGGCACCGAGAGCCATGCGATGCTTCCAGATGGTGAAGGTACACAATGCCGCGATACACCAATCATCATTCCTTCCCTCTGATTTCGCGATGTGAGACACGAAGGGTGTTAAGGGTCGCCGAGGGCAACTTTAGATGTATTACTAACTGGGCGACGGCATGGCGAACCATCCCCGCGGCACCCCGCCTAACGAGGGCATCCAGCAAAGGAACACTTAGCTGGGCGAGAGACCCAACCTTATGCAGCTACGGGAATCGCAAGACAGGCGCAAACTAAAGGAAAGGTCTACCAGAAAGACCAACGCGCGCTTGGGAAAGAGCGATGGCGCTACTGATAGGGTAACTGAGGTCGGCCGTAACATTTTACATATGAGTTTAACATGTTACGGCTGATCGGCGCGTCTGTCACCGCGGCCTCAGGGGGCAGAATGCTGCAAGTCCTTCGGTGGAGATCCGTATGGGGCCACGAAACGTGTGAGGAATGTGCCGAAATGGGCATGGTCACTCATGCGAGTCCTGCCACTGGGGCCTTAATGTGGGCTCCCAGTGTGGCCGCGCAACGTGTGACGGGTGCGCCGAAATGGCGTGGGCCAGGCATGCGGACCGTGCCACTTGGTTTCTTGGCGGAGCTCTCTAAATGAAGTGGGCCAGGCATGCGAACCCTGCCACTTGGGCCATTCGTGGAGCCCCGAAACGTGTGAGGTGCGCCGAAAAAGCGTAGACAAGGCATGCGAAACCCGCCACGTGGGCCTCAGGCGGAGCTCCCCATGGGGCCCCGAAGTATGTGAATGGTGCGCCGAAGCGGCGTGGACCAGACATGCAAAGCACGCCATTTGGGCCTCGGGTCGGACTCCCCATGATGCCACGAAGCGTGTGACGGGTGCGCCGAAATTGCGTGGACCAGGCATGAGAACCCTGCCCCTCACTATGGGGCCCCGAAGCGTGTGAGCGGAGCTCCGGAATGGCGTGGGTCAGACCTGCGAGCCCTGTCCCTTGTGCCTCATATGGAGTCCCCGGATGGGCCCCAAACGTCTGAAAAAAACGCCGACATGGCGTGGACAAGGCATGCGAAGGCCTCAGGTGGGGCTCTCTATGGGGCCCCGAAGCGTGTGAGGGGTGTACCTACATTGGTTCGCGGAAGGCAGCGGCAGGCATGGGAGGAAGAGGGAGGAGGGAGAGGGCAGCGGGAGGAAGACGCGGGGCGCTGTCTCGTCAAAGCGAAGACCCAACACCACACGAGGGTTGGGGAAAAACGGCACAAACGCAATTTCTCTTGATCGGCGCAGGTTTGTTGGATCGACGGTGGACCCCTTTCTTGGCGCGCGGAGCGCGTAGGGGGCGGCGCCACAAACTCCGCCAAGGGGGCCTGGACTCCGCCAGAGACTCCTCCTCCTCCTCTTCCTCCTCCTCTTCCTCTTCCTCCTCTTCCTCCTCTCCTCCTCCTCATCCTCCTCCTCCTCCTCCTCCTCCTCCCCCTCCTCCTCCTCCTCTTCCTCCTCCTCATGATCCTCCCCACTCCCTCTCCCGATCCTCATCCTTCTCACTCCCAGCTTTCTTAGAGCGAGAAGGATGCGCGACGAGGGTGCAAAGGCATTGGACTCCCAAATTCCACCAGCCTTCTGGGCGTAGGTGGTCTAGAGAGGCTCCTCTTCCAACCCCCCTTTTCCCCTTCGGGGCAGGGCTTGTATATCACGGTTCCTTCTTGAAATACCCCCCCGCCCCGAAGCGACCGGGGGCGGGGGCGCCGACATGTTTCCCGCTGCGTGCTGTCATGTGCGCGGGCGCACCTGACGCACTCTGCACGTGCCCCGAACGCGGAGCTCTTGGCGAGGCTGTGTGCGGCGCACCTGGCGCACTCGGAGCACGTGGCGCATCTGGCGGACCAAGCGTGCCTGGCACGCTCGGGCCCGAAGGCTGCCTGGCGCGCGTGGCGCCCCTCGCACGCGTGGCGCACCTCGCCCAAGCGTCGCGCACCTGAGGTCGGCTTTGGTTCCCAGTAGCTGTCCATCCAAAGACGACCGCTGAACGTGCTCAGGCTCGGGTGTCACTTCTGTGAAGGGAGGACGGGTGGGAGTGAACTGGACGGTTTGCTGGCGGGTGGGTAGCTTGACCCCTCCCCCCACCTCTCCCCTGGAGCTGGACGGGGGCAAGACGGCCCAAGACGGCTCCAAGAGGGCCTCAGAGCCCAAGATGACCTCTGAGAGGGCACCAGATATCCCAAGATGCCTGGAGGGCCTGCGGGCGGGTCGCGGCACTCCCCCCGGAGGGCCCGGGCGGCCCCCTGGCAACCTGGGGGGCACCCCGAAATTGCTCTCTAAATCGGTCAAATAATGAAATAATGCCCCCGCTCCCACGCAAGCATTCAGATTCACCCATTTTTACCGCTCGTTGGCCTGGCGGGCGAGGCTCTGGCACTTGCTCGGCCCCGATCAGAAAGCTGCAACTGGCAGAAAGCGCCGCGCGCGATAGAATCCGCGGGCCGCTCTGTAGATTACATGAAGACTCTGGCGCTGCGACCCTGCATGTATGGCCCCCAACACTACTGTTTTGAGCAGCGCGGCCCCGCGCCTTCGAACCTCAATCAATGAGGCGCAGCGCAACGGGCCCGGGATGGCCGCGGCAATGATGGCTGCCATGCGACACATTCGCAACGCGCGTCCTGATCAACCCGCGACTTGTCATTGGAATGTTGTGTCTACGATGGGGGAACTATTTCCTACTTGAAGCTATTTTGAAACTGCGTTGCCCTACTCAAGCCTATAATGTGTCTACTTTGTTCTAGATTGGAAAACTACGTGTTCCTACTTTTTTCTATCGGGAGCGGCCAAGAAGGGGGTGCCTAAGAGGGGGGTGCAAATCATGACCAGCGGCACGTGCGCGGCCCAGCGGGGGGGCAGGGACGTCATGGAATAAGAAGAGGCGCCATGACATCTGAGGAAAGATCATGGCCCCCGCCATGATATCCACCCCCCTTTAGTCATCACCCCCCTCTTTGCCGCCCCCGATTCTAACCCATCTTGATCAACATGGCTGGTTGCTGTCTAAGGAACCGTTGTCACAACTTTCATCCTGAGCCGCTGCTCGGCGGCCCCGAGGCCGGGCCCCCAGAGGCCGAAGACAAGACGGTGAAAACAGAAATCCGCCTGGGAGGCCTCGAAGGTCGCCAGCGAGCGAAGGGGGGAAATGAGAAGGAAAAGGCCTTCTCTCGGGGATGGACAGACCCCCCCCCCTTTTAGTAAAACGTGGTTTCGTGAAAACGACCTGAGGCCCAAACCTGGCGGGCGCAAGCCTGGAAAATGACGGCCACGGCGCCCTCTCGAGAACCGAAAACGGACAATTCACTCATCGACGTGTCACTGCTGGGGGTTCTGTCCACCCCCGATCCTCAGGAGGTTCGGGCGTCCCCCAGCCCTCTGAGAAATTCTCTCAGCCTTCCCCGAAGACAAACAGAACAACTTCTCAACAGGCGCGAGGGCGTCTCGCCCCCTGCCGAGAGAGATCCCCGGGGAACTCTGCGGAGCCAGGCGCGCCCGCGGCGTCGCTTTTGGCGCCCAGGCCAGCGGCAGCTCGGCCGCGTGGCCCTCGACGCCGCCCGCGCGGGGGCTGGGCCCGGGCCGCTTCGAGCCGCGGGCGGACCGCGGGCGGCAGTCGAAGGTATGGAGGCCTCTCAGATGGGGCACGGGGAGGGTGCAGGCATCCCGCGCAGTGAGGACGGTGCCAATGAGCTCGCCGCCGAACTAAAACGATGCCATCTACACAGGAGGAGGAGGAGGAGGAGGAGGAGGAGGAGGAGGAGGAGCAGGAGCAGGAGCAGGAGCAGGAGCAGGAGCAGGAGGAGGAGGAGGCCATCTACTCACACACACACACACACACACGCCTATCCAAGCCAGGCCCCCCTGGGCCCAACATCTCGGTGTGCACTCCCTCCCGGCTTTGCCCAGAGAAGGCGTCGCCGATCCTCGGCCCGGCGTGTGGTTCGGGCAGGGGGTGCAGTCACCCAGCACCAGAAGGAAGCGCGGTGAGGATGCGAGGGCCTTGGCAGGCCATCTCGAAGCTGTTCGACCGGGGCGCGGCCAGCGAAAGTGGCGAATGATGGGCCGACGAAGCACGGATGCAAGGGTACCGCTGGGAAGGTTGCCCATCCTTCCTATGCGGATTGACTGTGCGGGGAAGGGGTAGGGGATCGACTCCAGAATTGATTTACCTCAGAATTGGCATGTTCCCCAAATCTACGGAATCGATACATAGAGTGATCGTAGATCTGGGGAGCAGGGATGCGCCTTTGTCGTAGATCCGACGAAACTCAACTCTGGGGTAAATCAATTCTGCAGGCGATCTTCTACTCGACCATTTGGCGGCGCGCACAGGAGGGTAGGGGGAGGGGGGAAGGCTTCTTAGAAAGAACCTGCTTCTGAGAAGGCGCCGGCCCTACATCTGTAGAGAAGGCCCTCGCCTTCTCAGAAGCAGGGGTGCTGCTAAGAAGCCTTCACCCCTCACACTACCCTCTCTGCGCGTGGCCGATTGATAGGGTCGGAGGATTGCGCCGCATCGACTATGCATCACCGATGCATCGGCGATGCAGTGGCGACGTCGGCGGTGCATCGGCGACGTCGGCGTGGAGAAGATCGGGTACCGCATCGAGCCGCATCGCCGCATCGGCGAGGCGGCGCGATCCTCCAATCCCATGTGCTCCAACCCTCATCTAGGGGGAGGCCTAGAGTATGGCAGCGCAATTGACGGGAGGACGCCAACCTGGCGCAGAAGGTAGGTCAGAGCAAAAGGGAACAGACGTTTTGAGGTTCGAGGCTTGAGGCTTCCGGATGTTTTCGCTGGTTCTCGGCGGCCTTACGGCCTCGGGATGCCTTTCAGCGGCTGCGCCTCGCCGAGTGGCGTCCGGGGCTGCACAGATCGCCCCGGAACGGCCGCAGGAGGCCCGAGTTATGGCCCGAAAGCAATCGGGGTGCGGAAACATTTACGTGCAATCGGCGGTGCATCGCCGATTGATTGGCGATAGACCCGCCAATATCATATCGAACCCCTCCCCCCCCTGAGCCTACCCCCCGCCGCGAACGTTGCCCCTGGCTTTCGGCTCATAACTCAAGTCTCCGGCGGCCGTTCGGGACGATCTGGGCACCCCAGGAACGCCCTCGAGGCGGAGCTACTGGGCAGCACCCTGAGACTAGAACGTCCGAGCTCACGAACGCCAAAGACAACGTACGAACCCGAACCTACGAAACTCCACGAAAACCAACGAAAACCCACGAAAGGCGCCGAGGACCCACAGAGACGCCCAAACGCATCAAATCTCCGAAGGCCGACCGCCGTGCCCGGCCAGGGCGGGCCACGCTGGTCTGTGCGGATGTCTCCTGCGGGAGACTGCCCAGACCTCCGGCGGGCCAAGCAATCGCGCCACAAGCCTCTCGGGGACCCTCAAGCTGACCGGCCTCGACGTATCCCTATCCCTTGTGGACGCCCGAAATGGGCACGGAAAAATGGGTAGAATGCCCAACAGCAAACGTTGTTCCAAACCAACAGCGGCCGCTGTTGGGCAGGCGGCCTTCTTTCTCAAACGGACACAGCCGCGGCGGCGCGGACAGCGAGTCCTGTTCAAAATGAACAGGAGCTGCTGTTGGGCATTGTACCCATTCTTTCCGTACCCATTTCGTTCGTGCCGATCCCCCAGACTGGCGAGCCAAACGCGAAGACAATCTCAGGGGTGTGCCCCCAGAAGCCGAGGGGATGCTCGAGATCGGTATCGAGGTGAGGTGATGCCAAACACAGGGACAGGGCTATGTTTCAAGCTGGTCACAAGCTCTGCGACTCCGAAGGGTGCGGTCTGCAACCCGCGCCCTGGGGAGCGGGCGAGGACCCGGACCGATGTCTCCGACGCGCCCTTGACGAGGGCAAAGTGGTGCCCCTCGAGCCCCGACGACACAGATCGCAAACCACGCCCCGGCGTAACCACACCCACTGCAGCCGCTGACAAAGGAACGACTCGGGACGCTTCGCTGGCCCCGCGGCCAGCGACCAGAACGAGTCGAGCTGGCAGACGTCAGGGTGCCCAACAGGCCAGGAAGGCCAAGGCCATCATGGACCGGGTCCGGCCTGGGCGTTGCTCAGCGCGGTGGGAATCCACTTTTCTCCTCGCCCCCCATTGATCGCTACCCTTATGTCGGGCCTGTCCCCCCTACAGGAGGATTTTCGACGAAACATGAAAAATACCCACAAACAAAAAGGCACCAAAAAGGTAAAAAGATACTCAAAACATGGCCCCCAAATTGTTTTTGGATTAGTTTTTGACTATTTTTGGGGTATGCTTTATTTCTCGTCGAAAATCCCCATGTAGGGGGACAGGCCCGACTGATCGCTGCCCCCACTGCGCAGATCGCCAAGCACACAACCCGGGACCGGGATGGGTCCATGGCGGGGCCGGGCCAGGCCAGTCCTTGCTCGGCCAAGCCTGGGCGGCTGTGACATCCACTTTTCTGGGGCCCCAACAGACCACCTGGGCGCCTGTGAAAACCACTTTTCTCCTCGCCCCCCATTGATCGCTACCCTTATGTCGGGCCGACCCCGTACAGGGGGATTTTCGACGAAAAACAAAAAATACCAAAAATAATCCAAAAATAATCCAAAAGTAGGCTGGGGACTATTTTTGATTTATTTTTCACCTTTTTGGAAAATTTGGGGGGTACTTTTTATTTTTCGTCGACAATGCCCCTGTGGGGGGACGGGCTCCCCATTGGAGGGGTCCACGGCGGGGCCGGAGCAGGCCAGCCCTTGCGCAGCCAAGCCTGGGCGGCTCGGCGGCGCGAGCGAGAAAGAAAGGCGCGGGGGAGTGGCGGCATTTTGCGAGGAGGCGCGGGCCTTCTCGGAAGCTTACTGGCCTCGACCTTGTCCCGATCCCTAAGACTGACACGTCAAAAGGTGATGGCAATCTCAGGGGTGCGCCCTCAAAAAATAAGGGAAATCCCCAATATTGACATCGTGATGAGGAGATGACCAGCATAGGGATAGGGATATGTTCCAGGCTGGTAAGAAGCCGGAATGCTTCCCTGTACTTGTCCAAAAGGAAAATGAACCCAGACGGCCGATGCCTTTTCAATACGGGGCCCCGGGAAGACACGACCTCTACCCCAGGGCCAGTTATCCTACCAGGTCGTTGGCTGATTGTCCCAGAGACCAGCGAGGGGCCCCAGAAATCGAAAACTGCCAAAAACCATGGAGGCGACGCGGGCATGTCTGGGAGGTTCTCTCAAAAGAGGCCCAGATGGCTTATGGGAAATCTTTCTGGACGCGGGAAGAGCTTGTGTCCAATACCCCATTGCCCCTGACAAGAATCCCCGAGGGATCATTCGGGGTTCCGGGGAATGGAAATTGCTACCCTGGCATATCGCATGTACAATTGTACAACGCACGCACGAACGGCCCACATATGGTCGTAGTGGTAGTAGTAGTAGTAGTAGTAGTAGTAGTAGTAGTAGTAGTAGTAGTAGTAGTAGTAGTAGTAGTAGTAGTAGTAGTAGTAGTAGTAGTAGTAGTAGTAGTAGTAGTAGTAGTAGTAGTAGTAGTAGTAGTAGTAGTAGTGTAGTAGTAGTAGTAGTAGTAGTAGTAGTACAGTAGTAGTAGTAGTAGTAGTAGTAGTAGTAGTAGTAGTAGTAGTAGTAGTAGTAGTCGTAGTCGTATAGTAGTAGTAGTAGTAGTAGTAATAGTAGTAAAAGTAATAGTAGTAGTAGTAGTAGAAGAAGAAGTAGTAGTAGTCGTAGTCGTAGTCGTAGTCGTAGTCGTGGCAGTAGTAGTAATTGTAGTAGTAGTAGTAGTAGTAGTAGTAGTAGTAGTAGTAGTAGTAGTAGTATGATGATAAGAATAATATTTGTAGTAGTAGTAGTAGTAATAGTAGTAGTAGTACTAGTAATCGTCGTCGTAGTCGGAGTCGTAGTCGTGCTAGCAATAATAATAGTAGTAGCAGTAGTAGTAGTAGTAATAAGAATACTAGTAGTCGCAGAAATAGTAGTAGTAGTAGTAGTAGTAGTAGTAGTAGTAGTAGTAGTAGTAGTAGTAGTAGTATTAGTAGTAGTAGTAGTCGGAGTAGTAGTAGTAGTAGTAGTAGTAGTAGTAATAGGAGTAGTAGTAGTAGTAGTAGTAGTAGTAGTAGTAGTGATAGTAAAAATAGTAGAGACAATAGTAGTAGTGGTGGTAGTCGTGGGAATAGGAAGAACAATAGTGAAGAGAGTAGTGGGAGTATTAGTTGTAGTAGTAATTGTTTGTAGTGAGGAGCAGTAGGAGTAGTAGTAGTAGTTGTAGTCGTAGTAGTAGTAGTAGTAGTAGCAGTAGTAGTAGTTGTAGCAAT